TCGAATATCGCACGTTATGTCCCATTTCGGATAACAGTGGCTTGCTTGCGGCAGTGGGGCACCTCTCTGAGCGCTAATTTGTAATGGTCGGATTAGTGCATCATTGTAATGGATAGGGCCAAATAAGTAATGTCCTTACTGCCACTTCCATCCGCCGCCTACGGATATGAACCTTATTTTATCCATTGTGTGGTGGATGGTGCAGCTTTCCAGTTGGCCAAACATCCGTTCCTAATGGGAAAGGTCCTTGACCTGGAACGTTTGTTATGAAAATTTAAGCCTTGTAGCTAGTTTTATCTCCCGCTTCTTAATATTTTGATCTTAATCCATGGTTGTGTGATGTCGAAAAACCGGTACGAGGCGTTGATGTGCTGTTCTCTATCATGGTGATAAGAACCACAACAATGTTCGTTTTGCGAAATTCACTTGTTTCACACATTATTTGCATTGTTTCTATTGAGTACGGCCCGTAGCCCAGTGGACAAAGCAGAACGCGCAGACGTAGTATGGCATATTTTAATGACATCCTTCTACGTTACAGTGGCTGGAAATGCCGAAAAGGAAAATCAATGAATATGGTGAGTAAATCAGGGTCATTGTCAACCAATCATGTGAGCACCTGTGTCCATGATCAATATTCAAGTGTAGGCGTGACACCCCTCTTCCCTGGTAAAGACTGCAGACTCCGGATTGGTACCAACCAACTGGCTTCGGCGTGAATTTTGTACGTCTTACTTCAGGTTGTTGCGCATCAGTTTGCGGTTCCTTATTTTGGATGCCGATTCCCATCCTTTTTGCGTCAGTAGCAGTCGATTTTTGACCCAGCTCATCCGTTTCGACTGAGCGTGGTCGAAGTGGCGGCATACCAAACGATCGTCCTCCAGCTGTAGCTCTGCTTGGTTACTCGCTGAGGACATAACTGTAGCAGGTTACCAGCTTGCTTTGACAGTCTTATATATGCTGGACCAAAATCAATGATGCACATTCCTTCTGGCATCTCGTCATCCCCACACTTTTTCCTGCTTCGCCTCCATGTTTCTTCGAGGGTTCGGAAAAGGGAGATACGGTCTCGTTCGTGGTAGCCGACCAAGCTTCAACTCTACGAATGACTTCCATGTCGACTCAATCGGTGTCGTGCGGTAAGAGAACAGGAGACCATCAAACTTAGTTTGCAAAGTTCCATGAGTCCCATGGAGGTGACCTTGCTTAACAGTCTGGACTGCACGCTCTGCCATTCCATTCGACGCGGGATGGTACGGTGCAGACTTTATGTGCTGCATTCCATTGTTACTCAAGAATTGCTGAAGCTCTTCACTGGTAAATGGTGTCCCCTTGCCGGTACATGTCTTCTCTGGGATACTGGTGGTGACAATTATGGAGTGCATTTTTGCAACTGTTGATGCGGAAGTTGCATGGGGAACTGGTTGTACTTCGATCCATTGAAAGTGGGCATCAAACAAAAGAAATCACATCACCCCGTTGATCGGGCCAAACTAGTCTACGTGTACTCGCTACCAGGGGCTTTCCGGCCAACGCCATGGATAGGTCCGGGTGATTTTTAACCTCGATATTTTTAACACAGTTCACACTATTTCAGCAGCCGTTCTATGTTCTGGTCAGTGTTCGGCCACCAACAGTAACCACGTGTCAGTGCTTTCATCCTCTTCACGCTAAGGTGTTCGTCATACAGTTCTCTCAGCAACTGGGGCGTAGTTCGTCCGGTGGAACTATGTGCGAGCCTCGAAATATACAGCCGTCGTAGAGGCTTAACTCACTATTCCGACAGGCGAATGGTTTCAGTTCGTCTGATGTGTTTGTAAGCCATCCGGTCATCAAGAACCGTTTCACTATCGACAACACAGGGTCCCTGTCCGTCAGGCGCCGCACCACGTCACTCCGGATGGGTGTCTTTTCAAGGTGTTGCATCAGATTGATAAACTTCCGGGGGTTCACTGTTCGTTTTTATTTCATGCTGCTGCAGAAGGCGACTCATTGCGTCGGCAATAATGTTACTATGTCCGTTTACATACTGAACTTTGTAGTTATAGGCGCTCAAAAGTAGTGTCCACCTTTGAATTCAAGGCGAAGACATCTGCTGGATTCCCTTCTCCACACCCAGAAACGAAAGAAGCGGTTTATAGTCAGTGTATATACCGATCTGTCTTCATCAGATATAATGTTGGAAATGCTTGACTCCGAAAATAATCGCTAAAGCCTCTCTGTCCATTTGGGAGTGATTCCTTTCACCGGTTTGAATGATGCTAGAAGCAAGAGCGTTTGGACGAAGTGTACCCTCACCCGTCCGGTGACAAAGGACTGCGTCAACTTCACGTGAGGAAGCATCACACTTTAGCACTCGACTCAGGCTTGGAGGCGCTGAGCGTTCTTTTTGAATTTGTGAAGCTTCTTCTTTGATCCGGACCCCAAATCCAGGACTTTCACTTGTGAAACACTTTGTACGAAGGTGCAAATACTGTTGAGACGTTAGTTAATAAGCGGCGATAATGAGAATACATCCCCGGAAATTAGCAGAGTTCAGTTTCATTCTTGGGTTCAAGTGCGACAAGGATGAACTTGTCTTTTCTTCTAACATGTGTTATCTATTTTTATCGAGGCGGTAACACAGGTAACGAGCGGAATCTGAGAAATACATAGTCTTGGACTTATTCAGTTTGAACCCAATCAGTTGTAGACCTTCAAGTACATGGGGCTAGTGTTTGTGAATGTTCAGCGTCTGAACATACTGTAATCAGGAATTCTTCAATGTAGGCGCAAGTGAAAGCAATATATTTGAACAGGTTATCAATGATTCTTTGGGATATCGCCAGGGCTGAACTGATCCCGAAAGGCAGACGTTTGTACAGGAATAGACCCATGTGGCCACTTATCGTGATACATGAGCGGGAAGTCTCTTCTAACCCTGATTGTAACTTCGCTTGACGGAGGTCGATCTACATGAACTATTTTCCGCCTGCTAGCATAGCATATAGACCTTCTTTCCTGAGTAGAATATACGCATCCAACATTAAACAACAATTAACAGTTAGTTTACAATCACTGCAAATACGTACAAAACCATCTGACTTCAGGACTGTGACTATTGGAGCTCCCCACTCAGCGGCTCGATTATTCCTGCTGATTGCAATCTCTTTATCTCGTGTTCCACCTTTGATCTCAGGGAATAAGGTAGAGTTCGTGCCATGAAGGTGCGGCGCTGAGTCCCCTGCCGTAATTTGTTACTAACCTGATATCCATTCGGTTTTCCCATTTTGTCGTCAAACTATCGGAATATCTATTGAACACACCCTCCAAGCGCTGATTAATGGACAAACTTCACTGCCCCTAGCGTAAGCAGGAGGCATTTAATTCACTCGTGCCCAAGTGAGTTTAGGCAATCATTCGCCACAACGTTTTTCCTCATGTTAATTAATGTGTGCAGTGCACTTTTCTATGACGTACTGGTTGCCCGAGGTACCTCCGCAAGGTTGACTCACAGGGGGATAACTTGGGTAATGTTTTAACAGATGCATCATTGATTATGGTAACTGTGGTACCGGTGTCAATTGCCATTTGAACCAACTGGTTTTCTATTTCTAGCTCCTCATTGTTAGGTGGATTAATTCTACAGATGCTCGATACATTCTAAATTGTGTTTAGCCGTTTATCTTCCTCTGAAGTTTGGACGATCTTCACGGGCTTCTAGGAAAATCGTGATCTCACAGCTGTGCTAGGTTTAGAACGGCAAATTCGGACCAAATGCCTTAATTTTCCACACTGACGACAGATACTCTGTTTATGACCACATTCCTCGACCTATAAATGGTGCTTTCAGCATCGATAGCATGTAAAAGGCAATTCAGGCCAGCTCGAGGTAACACTTTTCGGTCGATTGTTTGAATTGTGTCTGTATGAGGATGCTGGTAGAAAGTTACCAAATGTTTATGGGCATTCTCTAGCTGCCGAACAATATTGCAGGCCTTTTCCCAACTCGTTGTCGTCTCATCTTCCCATAAAAGCCTTTCATGGGCCTGATCCTCGCGGATACCGGATATCAGACACAGTAGAGCCATCGCTATCTCGAACTTAATGGCTGGGATTTCACTATACCGACATTCTGATAAGGCTTGCTGAATTCTCACGATGAAATCAATTGCGCTTTCTTCAGAGTTATGTCGCAAGGCCGAGAACTAATACCGCGCAATGTGTGTTCAATCGAGAACCCTCTTACCCACTTAGGACTTCTAGCGCACCGTTAAGTGTCGCTTTCTCACCGACATGGAGGGCATCAACATGTCCTTGGCTTTCATCCCGCAAAACTTGCCACAGTAATTTATTTTCATGGCTCTCTGAAAGTACCGTATTTTTGTTGTCAAACAGGTAATAACTCCAAATAATCCAAAAAGTGCGCTTCCAGCAGTTCCAGGTAGCGGGTGTTGGTTTCTCAGAAGGAATACTCCACCGTATTGTAGGTAAGTGCAACATCACAATAATTTAACCCCGTCGCCAGTATCTTAAGTACGGCCCGTAGTCCAATGGACAAAGCAGAACGCACAGGCCTAGTGTGGAACCGTTTAATGACAACTTTTTAAGTTACAGTGACTGGGAATGCCGAAAAGCAAAATCAATGAAATACGGATGGTAAAGCAAGGTCATTGTCAACCAATCATGTGAGCACTTGTGTTCACGATCAATGTTCAAGTGTGGGCATATCAGCTTTGAAGAAACGTAGTCGCATTTTGCAGCTTTCTCTCATAAGCCTCGTGTAACTGCAGTTTAAGCGGTTCTTTTCTTTCTTTTTCTTCTCACTAACCGTGGTCACATTTTCCTATTTTTCACTGACTTATTATCGCGCATGCATTTGGGACTTATTTGTTAACTACATCGCACCCCTTTATACTTTGTTGAAGTCAACTGACACCAGATTCGCTCTGAGTGTAGTCGTGATCTTCCTAGGCTCTGTGGTCTTAATGTCTATCCATTTCCTTCCCTACTTCGTCCAGGTCGCTCTGTACAACTTGTCGGATACCAGCGAGAATCGAGTTTTTAGAATAAACGTTAAAATCAATGCAGTGGCTATTGCTCCAGATTACAATCAATCACAAGCCATTGTGATCGGTCACACGAAGGTATGCATATTCGTTTTTACTCGCTAGAACGCCTTTCATCTGTATGAGTTGTACCAGCGATGTCTGTCGACTCGTGTTAACCGATTGCTTGCCCCTTCATTTCACCCACATCGTTGTTGATCGGACTTTTTGTAGTCTTTTCTCTTTGAACGCCACCCATCATATTCATATGTGTTTTTATGCGTATATTATCTGTTTGGTCGCTCTTTGCTTATTCTCTTGATCCTTTGTCACTATGCTTAGGAAAGTCTTAGCATCAATCCGAAGTCAACATTTTTCCGTTTGCGTATTTGTTTACCCTACTCTTGACCAACTGATTTCTCATATACGCGCGCTGGTCCATCACTTAAAGCTTGCTGTATGCTTTCTGCTCACAACCATCAACGTTAACATTGGAGGTTAGTCAGAGAATGTCTTCGTGATAACTGGTTACACGTTGCGTTGTTTGGTGTCTACGATTTTGATTTCTTATGCGGCTTCTTACAAGACATTAGATTACTGTTCTGACTGCTTCTACATTAAACCTGGTCGCTTAAAGCAGCGGATCTGAAGAGGCTAGTTACGTTCGACCACCGGTGCCTTCGCAGTTTAGCTCACATCTGGTGGGAACACCGCGTGAGCAACGAGCGTGTTCGACGCCTTGTTTACGGCACATGAAAAGGAACTGAACCGCTCAGCACCGTCATTTCACGCGCCAGGCTCCGATGGCTCGGCCACGTGTTACGCATGCCAGCCCACCGACTCCCGCGACTTGCGTTGTTTGCGCGCCGAGGGTGTGGATGGAAGGAGTGGAGGGTTGGCCAAGCGATGACTTGATCGAAAGGAATGAAGACCCTCAATTCTGAGCTGGCCTCGGCTGGAGCGTCTCGGCTCCCTGGTTGGGGTCCGAAAGACGATGAACACGTTTGGTTGGACACACTTGCTGATATGGCTAGGAGCCGACCTCAGTGGCGTTCGTGCTGTGAGTTACTTTGTCCCACTCCATCCCTCTTAGCTTCCCTCTCCAACCACAATCTCATTATTTAGCCTTATACAATTTTGCATAGTAGTTTTTTTCGATGCACAGTAGCTGGCTGGTAGCTGACCGGAACGATGCCCACCCGGTACCGGTAGCTCAGCCGGCTTGCACTAGTTGCAATTTTTTCTCTCCTTTTTTCTGTGTATTGCGGCACGGTAGCTGAGGTGTTTCCCACCTCTGGCTAACGTGTATGATGATGATGGTGATGCTTCTAAATTATCTTGCTGTTGTTAAGCTCCTTTGCGGAAATACCCCACCTCTTCCTATGAGATAGGCAACAGCCGCTTCCCGATGTCCTTGGGATAGGCGTTCATTCCTTTTACAGCAAAAATTCTAACATAGTGCCTAGACAGTGCGCTTCGGCATCTTAAGCGCTTGATTGACGCACTACCTGTTAATTTGTAGTTACGCGATCTCGACCTGCGCAACTGACAGCGAGCTAGTTGGCTCTCTCACTTGTCCCTGTATGATGCGTTAACTTTGGTTGTGTTTGGTGCCAATGTCTAAACAGCGTTTGTCTGTTGCATTCCATCACTTTGAGTATTGGATCTAAACAACTGGTAGTTGTTGCTCTTGCCTTCACTGCATAAAATAATTGTGGGAATGTTGACCCCATTGATTCGTTCCATCTACTGCACACCCGGTATAAAAGTTTTCCCGGATCTGGTTTAATAACTAACTATCGGATACCCATTCCACTTAAATCACCTGCTCACCTGCTGACAACTTACCTTTATGGCCCCTTAGTCATCCCATGGATCACCTTGCATTACTTCACTCACAAGTTTCTCAAGTGCGGCCTGATTCGGATACAGCTGTGTCCTGACTGTCGCCTATTGCTGTGCATCTAGATGCATCCACAATGTCACATCACCGACCAATTATTCTTCCCTTCACTTTTTCAAGTCAAATCAAAATCAGCTTCATTTTCAGAATTTACACCATCACTGCGGACAAACTGGATAATGATAACATCATCATCATCAGTACAGGTTAGCTGAGGGTGAGAAACACACCTCAGCTAATGTGCTGAAGTACAAAAAGATAAGAGACTAAAAAGTTACGCTGCAAAACTATATGATGTTAACTATTATATTATGCGTTTAGCATGAGATCGGGATTGGAGGGAGTGGGATGGACAAACAAATTCAAAACACAAACGCCATTGGAGCCCGTTCTTCACCATATCAGCAATTGTGTCCAACCAAACGTGTTCATCGTCCTTAGGACCCCAGCCAGGCAGTCAGGAGACGCCAATTGCCGCCAACTTCAAAGTGAGGGTTTTTTAATTTCGCTCGACCAAGTTATCATTTGACCTGCTCTTCCAGACGCGCCCCCGGCGCGCAAACAATACACGTTGCAAGAGTCGGTGTGCTGACATGCGCAACACATGGCCCAGCAATCGGAGCCTGGTGCGTGATATAATGGTGCTGAGTGATTCACTAGCTCTTCCCGCACCAAATACGTGACGCCGAACACGCTCATTGCTCACGCTCTGCTCCCAACCAAACATGAGCTGGGCTGTGAAGACAGCGATATATATATATATATATATATATATATATATATATATATATATATATATATATATATATATATATAACACTATACCAATTACAATATAATTGGCTGAGTGCCACAACACATAAGAAGAAATAAGGATAGCATGAAACGGAAAACCACTGTTAGGGTAAAAGTGTCTCACAGCCAGTGCGCCATTGCGTACGGTCCTTGGCCTTATTCTCCAGCGTTTGCAACCAGGTGTGCTCGGGGTCCTTTGGTCCCTAACCCGGGCGTCGGGAACGTCCGACAACAGCCAGCTTCAACGTTTGCGCCTTAACACATTGGATCCAAGTTTTACATAACCCTCCTTTTCGTCGCTTCCAAGCCACGCCTGTGTTCGCAAATAGGGCTACTCGTGATAGCCGCTGGGTAGGCATGCGAAGCACATGGCCAAGCCAGCGGAACCTCCGCAGTGAGATGATGCTATCAATCGATCGGCGGGGTTCGTTAGATCTGAAGACTCGCTGACGGATTTCCTCATTACTGATGTGGTGCTGCCATAGAACACCAGCAATGCTTCGCAGGCAGCGGTGTTCGAACACTGATAGTCGCTGAACATCGTTTTTGCGAACTGGCTAAGTTTCACAGCCGTACAGCAGAATCGCTCGTACCGTAGCATCATAGACTCTTCCCTTGAGAGCGAGGCTAAGATCACGACGAAGCCACAGGTGACGAAGATTGGCGAAAGCGACTCTAGCCTTGGAGACACGCAGAGAAATCTCATGTCAAACCGCCAGTACTATAACAACTCCCAAGATAAATGAATTTGTCGACCACTTCCAACGGATGCCCCGAGAGGGTGAGGAAAGGACATGCACTTGGCCAGTCCTGTAATAGGACCTTACATTTGGAAGGGGCAAAGCTTAACCCAAATTGGGCGGCGGACATCTGCAGTCTGAACACCACGTGCTGGGCGGCTTGGGAGGACTCGCAAATCACAACGATGTCATCGGCGTACTCTAAGTCCCGATGGTGGTCACCAGGGAGCAGTTCAACACCGCAGGACTCAGTTATCCAGGGCAGTATCCAGGATCTCGTCCATGGCGAAATTGAACAAGAATGGAGTGGCTGGGCAACCTTGTCTCACACCGCTAGTGATACTGAAAGGGGGCGAAATTTCTCCGTACACACACGCGGCCCGAATATTGATGGTAAATGTCACGGAGAATGCTGATGTACTTTTCAGATGCTTCCCTCTTCAGTAAGCAATCCCAAAGACCCACTCTGTCAACAGAGTCAAAAGCGGCACGAATATCCAATAATATGACCATAGTTGGTCGACTGAACGTATGGCGATGTTCAAGTATCTGGTGGATCGTAAACCTGTGATCGACACAACTGCGACCCGGGCGAAATCCAACTTGTTGTTCACGCTGGTGCTGTTCCTGTGCGCAACTGAACCTCCGTAAGAGTAGGGCAGCAAGCAGTTTGGATGCGACACAAATAAGATTGATGCCACGATGGTTGGAGCAAATGGTCCGGTCTCCATTTCTGTAGACAGGTACAACATTCGCTAACTTCCAGTCGGATGGAATGGCTTCAGCTGTCCAAATCTGATAGAATAGAGATGCCATTTCGCGAACGAGAGCAGGACATCCATAGTTGAATAGGGCAGGTCGAAGTTCCTCTGGGCCAGGTGACTTGTGGCGCTTTTGTAGACGAAGCTCATTGGAAACCTCAGCCTCTGTCGGTGGAGAAACATCCACGCACCAAGGTGCAGTGTGAAACCCGGAAAATAGACTCGGTTGCGCTGCTGGGCAGTTGACTTGATCTTCAAAGTACTCTACCCATCGTACCAGACGACGGTGACGACTGTGGATTAGTTCATCATCATTTTCACGCAAAACCTCACTGTTAGTCTTCTACCTCCCGTGGAGCGAATAAGTTGGAAGAGTTGACGGGACTTTCCTGATGAGGCTGCCCGCTCCATCTCATCGACGCGCTGTGTCCACCAGACCTCGCGATCCTTCTTGAGGAGCTGTGTGAGCTCAGCACCTGTGGTTCTGCCTTGTGCGTTGTACTCAACTCCAGCGGGAATTGTTCGACGACTTTCCATTAATTGGAGAGACTGTGCGGAGATTCAATGACTAACAGCTCGTCTAGTGAAGTCACATACCAGCGTAGCGGACTTTCGTAGGGCGCTCTGAATCTGTACCTAGTGTGTCTCAACATCGGAGGATAGAGAACGCAGGTTGGAGGCTAATGTGTTCTGAAATGCGCCGATAACATTTGGAACGGCTGTCTTTGTCAAACCGTTTCCGGCGACGCTGTTGGGTGCCTCCAAAGCGCAGAACAAACTTACACACACGAGCGCATGATCCAAAGGCAGGCGAGTGTTCCATATTGACTTGCACTCCGTTATGCAGCCTCGCCAACGGTAACTAACAGTGATGTGGTCAATTTGCGTGCAAGATTGACT